TCGCTTTTCAGAACGATGAGCTTTGTAAAAATCGACGCGTTTCAGAAAGGCGGGGCATAGAGGAGAAACAATAATGTACAGTATGTGGAAAATAATGTGTTTTTTGAACCTTAAACCACATAAACACATTTCATTACACCAAATACGCAACATAATGTTCTTTTTTAGCAACATCATATGATCCCTTTAAAAATAAAGGTTCCAATAAGGCTTTTCGCACCGGGTTTGTTTCCCAAGGAGCCTTTTTTTTTCCCTTGTGTGAAGAACATTTGAAATATCTAAAGAACCTTTTTCCACTATAAAGAACTTTTTGTGGAATGGAAAGGTTCCATAGATGTTGAAGGTTCTTCAAGAAACCTTCAATGCCAATAAAGAACCTTCATACGAGTGTAGGTTGCAAAGAACACTGGCTTTTATAGATCACTTGAAACTGTTTGTAGTCACAAATGTTTATAAATGTTTAATGTTTTTTCTGTCGATGAAGTGGAAAAATATCGCTGGAAGAACTTTTGGCTCATCCTTGCATCATTCTGCTGACAATTTCTTTGCTTTAATCCTTCACATACTTTTTCTGTCACTAATTATTAGCTTAAGCATTTGTTGTGATTCTTATGTGGCCTTGTTATGTAGAGCTAATGAAGTCATTGAGATGTACAATCAGAGTTTAATCAGTTCGAGGCTTCTCAGGATTTAAAAAAAAAAAGTGGTGGAGAGGTTGAGGGGATTGTGGGATGATGTCTCAGCTGCTTAGAAACAGCATGAGATCTCATGATGTACATCAGCATGCCACATTTGCTTCAGCAGGGTGGAAGAGAGGGTGAAATATCATACTGGAAGAGAAACTCTGAGACTAGACTAACAGTTCCGGCCTCAAGTTGTTTATTCCATTCAGCGCTAATTGTGTTACTTCTTATACACCTCAAGATCTTCTGCTTTTCTCTTCGGCAAGAAAAAATAATCCTATAGGAAATCCTAAACGCCTTCATATATGAAAATAAATTTTGCCCCACAATTTAAAATCACTTCTGTGGTTTATGGTTTCTGTGTAACAGATGGTGATTTGCTTGTATTGTTTTACCCTCTCCGGTCAGTGTCTTGGATGCCCACACACCTTTCTTGCGGTGGATGATCTCATATCTTCCACAGTAAATACCCAAGCTGTGAGTAATTCTGCCAAGCATCATTATGGCTTGCTCCTGGCCGTTGTGCCTCATTAGAACCTGTTACCAGAGTACTCGGGCCTCCCAAAGGACCCTGGAGGTGTTTTCTTAAGCACAGAGGAAACCGCGTGGCCTGTGCAGCCCTTTCCGGCCTGTAAACGCTGCATTTATTTTCAAAACTCTCTTCTGAAAATATCTCCTTTCTAAAACAAGATGCCATGCTCTGAAAGACTGCCAAGCACTAACCGTCTTACCAAAAGATGTAAAGAGAGATGGAATTAAATGAAAGGGAGTATCTTAAAATTAAAAAGAGTGTGTGTAGTGTTAGGAATTGTTGGGTGTGTTGGGAGTCGGGTTGGGAAAGGCAGTTTCCTGCATTGTTTGTTAAATGATGCAATGCATCTACTGAATCTACACCACGACCACTGTTGTTCGATGCCCATATAAATTATTCTTTTGAACTGATTCATTTAGTAAATCAAAACAAATGACTCAGGAACCGGTTCTTTTTAGGGAATAAAAAAACAGCTCACAACTAATTTGGAGATGCACAATGTGAGTTTTGGCAGTGGTATTTCATAAAAGTCAATGAATTATATGTTACCACATTTTTGTTTAGTTTTGTTCTTTACTATATTGGATTGCATTTATGTTTATTCTAAAATGACCATGAAACATTATTTAATGGCTTTAAAATATTTTATTGTTAAAACCATCCCATCATTTGGCAGTATAATTGCATTTCATTTTCCAAATATTTATTCCTTTTGAGTATTAAAATGTTTATTATTGGTACCGTTAAGAAACCTGAATCATTCAATTCTTCATGATTTCAATCCCGAGGTTTGGATCTTTTCCAAACATAGAATTGGCTGTTGGCTTAAAGCGTAAAAACTAGCAAAATGCCCCAATGTTTTGCATTTGAAATGACAAATTTGTCATTTATTTACATAATTGTGACCGCCATCGTAATTTTGAATAGCACCATACCAAATCCATTTTTTAAGCATTATCATTACTTTTGTTGTTAAACACTTGGTCCTTTTTCAGAAGGAAGTGCTTTCTTGAAATGGAAGTGGAATGCATTTAGTACTTTTTGCTTCCAGAGAGTGTCCCGCCTAAACTGTCACCACAGAAGCAGCTGTCCCGATCGCAGCGCACCACAAGTTTTACAGTGACGTTGTTTTGCCTCGGCTGTGTGTGGCTGGTGTCCTGTCATGATAACACGGCAGCCAAATCTGCATAAGGGATCAAAGATGAGATTCCTCCTTACAAACAGCACAACACATTGCAATTACAAACATCTGGCGTCAGCTGGGTACAGATGTCAGGCCATGCCCACACCCCTAAAACCATCAGGATGCGGTCCAGATGTGAAGAGGTCCATCTGACGTAAGATACAGATGTTGCTGTTTCTCAGACCACCTCAAAGCAAACTGTGCTTTTGTCTTTTAAAAAAGTACTTTTTACATTTAGATTGTTTTGCTACACCCAGTTTGCATGTGAAGCTGTGGGACAGGCTACAAACAGACACTAAGAATGTGATTCAATTAGAGTTGATATGGTTTAGCAAAACAACACTGAGATTCTGCAGTTTTAACGTCAGCCTGTTGGCTTTGCTAGGCTTGCATTTGCAGGCTGAAGTATAGCAACAACAAATAATATTGAACGTAACATAATTTTTTGTATGCGATTGCAATTCACAAGTGTGATTCAATTCCATTTTCAAATTGATTTGACTGATTCATTTGGCAAATTTTAGTAGTAATGTCAATATGTACTTATTATACACTTCACAAAGTTTGTGATCGGTAAGATATTTCTAATGTTAATCCTCACCTAGGCTGTATTTATTTGATCATAAATGCAGTAAAAACATTAATATTGTGAAATATTATTAAAATGTCAAAATAACTTGTTTAAAAAAAAAAGTAATTTATTCCTGATGCAAAGCTGAATTTTCAGCAGCCATTACTCCAGTCTTCAGTGTGTCATGATCCTTCAGAAACCATTCTAATATGATGATTTATTATTATTATCCATGTTGAAACAGTTGTGCTGCTTAATATTTGAAAATATATGAATAGAAAGTTACTTTTGTAGCATAAAATGTAAAATTAAAAAAAACCTTAGTGTCACTTTTGATTAATTCAATATTTAATAACGTTTGTTATGTTCATGCTCTAAATGTGCTATTTATTTTAATAGAAATACATTTACCGTTTTTAATGCATTCAGCAGACGCTTCTTTCCACTTCAAGGAGACTTCAAGTGCATTTGTGGTATGTATTTTATCAATGTTTCTGTGCCTTGAGAACTGAACTTTTTTGGCATTGGTCGAGCAACATTCATTGACCTTAAATAATATTTTCTCATTATGTCACTCTATTCAAAATTGCTGAGCGCTCCTCATGCAAGATTAGACATCTTTCTAAATTGGATTAATGCAAAATCTCACAGGCACAAGCGGTAATCTAATGAAGGTGCAGGTGCAAATGAAATCATTCCTGAATTCTCCTAGGATGTTTCAATCAGTCCAGACGTTACTGTCAGTTCCTGAAATTGAGTCTCAAAGGACATAAAAAGACGCCAAAGCAGTATTCCCTGTGTCTGCAGTGACCGAGCTGACTTCCTGTTTCAAATGTTAATCTGATTATAGGTTTATATAATTTTATGCAACCTTCCTGCTGTACAGGAAAGAACAGTGGACATTTATATTTCTCAATAATTTACATGCTAGATTACACATGAGATGCAGACGGACACCTGTGGACTGATTTGAATTTATACACTGTGTGGGAAATCTTCACTTAAAGGGATAGTTCACCCAAAAATGAAAGTTCTGTCATTAATTACTCACCCTCATGTCGTTCTAACCGTTAGACCTCCGTTCATCTTTGGAACACAAATTAAGATATTTTTGATGGAATCTGAGAGCTCTCTGACCCTCCCATAGACCGCAAGGGTCCTTACACGATCAAGGTCCAGAAATGTAGCAAGGACATCGGTAAAATAATCCATGTGACATCAGGGGTTCAACCCTAATTTTACGAAGCTACGAGAATACTTTTTGTGTGCAAAAGAAAATAAAAAAACGACTTTATTCAACAATTCATCTCCTCCGCATCACCCTAGCTCCATTTTGGAGAGTATCCACTGAACGTAAATTGCGTATGCTATTTTGTGTCAGCTGTGCTACGCGGATATGCTGTTTATGTCATTTACGCTTTGATTTGAATGAAAACAACGTATCCGCATGGCGCCGCTGACACAAAATAGCATACGCAATTTACTTTCAGTGGATACTTTCCAAAATGGCGCTACAGGGTGATGCAGAGGAGATGAATTGTTGAATAAAGTCGTTTTTTTTTTTTTTTTTTTTTCATCAAAAATATCTTAATTTGTGTTCCGAAGATGAACGGAGGTCTTATTGGTTTGGAACAACATGAGGGTGAGTAATTAATGAAAAAATTTTCATTTTGGGTGAACTATCCCTTTAAGTCAGTAAGATTTTTTTTATTTATCCTTTTAAATTTAAATTAATTATTTTATTCAGCAATGATGCATAAAATCACAACGCACTGGATAGCTGGCCAATCACAGCACACCTCGCTTTTTCAGACCGATGAGCTTTGTAAAAATCGACGCACTTCAGAAAGGCGGGGCATAGAGGAGAAACAATAATGTACAGTATGTGGAAAATAATGTGTTTTTTGTGCCTTAAACCGCATAAACATTAATAATGTTCTTTTTAGCAGCATCATATGACCCCTTTAATGATAACTGATTTCTGGAGTAATGCTGAAATTGCTGAAAACGTATCATTGCCTTCACACGAATAAATAAAAATATAATAAAATGAAATAAAAGTCATTTTAAAGTGTAACAGTATTCCACTGATTTTACCTTTTTTTTTTTCTTTTCTTTTTTTTAATAAATGCAGCTTTGGTGAGCATATAGGAAAAAAAAATTAAAATCTTACCAACCTGAACTTTTGAACAGTAGTGTATTATGTTACAATTCATTAAATTACAACCAGTTTGTCTATCAGCATTACTCAGTGTTGGACTACACTAACCAAAATTACCTTCCTACATGTGTAAATAATTTTAAAGGGTATAATTAATGTAATGGATTAGTTTGTGTTCATTGAAAGTAAATGTTGTGGTCGGGATGAGTGGAGATATATTACAGCTCATTGAAAAACTTGTACCTTAATGTGCTGTACATGAGTGATGTTGGCACCAGATCCGGTCCAGACTGATCCTGCTCTTCCGTTTCTGTAAGTTCCTTGTGGGAATTGGAAAAACACTTTGGTGGATATCACACCCTGTTATTCTTTCTCTCTGCAGTCCCTCCAGCAGCTTTCTTCACAAGTCAATTTCTGAACCCTCTCCAGCACTAGTGTTAGTGGGTAAAGCTGTTTAAAGCATACTTTTTTTTGTATTTTTATTATATTTATTTTTTATATTATTCATATATTTAGGAAGGGCCCATATACAGCTGAAGTACATTTTTATGCTAAAATTATTTTTTTTATTTTATTTGTTTCATGCTTTGGGATAACATATGCTAACTGATGAACTGTTAGTGTCTATAGTAACAATTGTCTTCAAATTTGTTCAAAACATTGAAAACTGTCGCTACATTCAGATTTTCTGAATACAAAACATTTCTGTTTATGGCTGATTTATGAAATTGAGAATAGTGTGTATGAAAATATGACTTTTGCAATGGATAGTGCATTAGTAAATAAATAAATAGTGCATTTTTTCTCAAGACCATTCAAATGTACCCCAATAATTCACCCCATAATATGCACAGCTTACGCATACCATTTTTTAGAAGTTATATTTTTATGACTCTGATGCTTTCTACATTCTGAAATATTAGCCATACTAATTGTAGTCATTAAATTTAGGTGTACGTTAGCAAAATTGCAGGGAAATTTCTCAATTAGCGTATAGAGATGTATGAAGCTCAGCTCACACAGAAGTCACTTTCAAACCAAGAAGCTTTCTGTTGGTCAACATGGCCAATTCACATGACGAGCCAGTTGCGAAATCTGCATTGGAAAATCTTTTGCCCTCACACAAAATTCAATATCGTGTGAATTCCAATTTAAATGACTGGATTTTGCCCAGGAAAATGTGTCGTACAATGATAAATGTGACTATTAAAGGCAAAAATGGCACAGCTTATATGTCCCCTAAATATTTTTTCATCCTCTAGAGTTCCTTTCTGAAATGAACATTGTTAAGATAACGGCAGTACTTCTCTCCACTGTCATCATCATCATCATCATCAGTGGTCATTACATCCACCTAAATTCCCTCCTTCCTTGTTCCTCTTCTGTAAGTAATCATTACGAACAAGGTTCATGTGGTGACTGCTCCACATGTAAGCTTCAGGTATGGCTGATCTCCAGTCTGGGATACTTTGTCTTGATAGGTCTGGGTCCGCAGAGCCTTCGCATGACCGATTGCAGGGCCGTGTCGAGTAGAAGATGAAGTTAACTTGTAAACGATGCCTTTCTCAGCTGTGTCGATTGATATTGTTTTTCTGACATGGATGAGTTACTTTTAAAGGAGATGTTGCCAAAGATCCCAATTGTAATGCTATTACATGATCAATTTAATTCTTAAGGGGTATTTTGAAATTTTGTTTGGTAGTTTGCAGAATTATCTTGTGCATGTTGTATCGATTAGTGTCAACAGGATTTGAGCCGCTTAGGATGTGTGTAATTTATCCCAACCCATTTGATTTAATCATTAAACCGAACCCAACACTATTCGAAAAGACGTCTACATGTGGAAAGTTCAACACGAAGTGGAAAATTTGCATTTGACCTTAGATTCCCATCCCAAAAAAAACCCCCATCTAATAATTTCAAAACGGATGAAGTTCATATTTAAAGCTTAAGCAGGAACCAACTCTGTCTTTCAAGTGGCTTTCACTTGATGTGTCCTATAATGTGGCAGATAATCAAACGTCCCTCGTTGACCCCTCATACACGTCTCTGATCTTTGGCCCATTTTATCTCTTTCATGGCCGAAACCCTTCATTTGTTTACGGCTTGGCCCGTCAGATATCATGATTTTCCAAAGCAGTGAGTCATGGCTCCCGTCTCCTGTTTTGCAGTGCTGTCCAAAACCTTGAAGGACTGGCGAGGGAAAATAGACATCCTGACATCAATGGTCCAAGAGTTTCTCTGATTTGCGTCCACGTCTACATCGGCAACTTCTTTCAAATCATCTTGTGTTTACAGGACTATAGGTAAACCTCTGACGGATGACACAGGAGATGTATTTTTAGGGACGGCCTGGTCAGCAGACCTAATTGACTGCTACTGATTATAGTATTTATGTAAACCAACCTGCCCTCAGCCTTAACTGCGCTGCTCTTAAAAACATCTGTGCATGACTGATGTCG